TACGATAACTCATCTTCTGTGCTGTGCCATCATCTTAGCCAGAGGTTGTTTTGTTGCCCCAATGTATAAATCACAGCAATGCTCCTGGCACTTAACAACTTATATTATATTACTCTGTTTGTGCCAGGGGACCCAATTCTTGGTCCCCGCAGAAGAGCTAACTCGTCAGGCCAGGACTCTGCAGTCTATTTACACTTACAGGCCAGTGGCCTCTCTTTCAATGATGAGGATGTACACATCCCGGACAGGGAGGAATGCTAGTTTGTGAGAGGAGTCAAGGAGGCCATTTATGTGAAAAGGGAAAGACCATCTCTGAATCGAGAAGGGGGCCTAAGGGTATATTTTTCACCATCTTACATTGCTGTGATTGCTGCTTTGCTCTGAACTTTGACAGCCTTTTGTGTTACTCGCAGCAACAACTCCACCTCATTGTTAGTCCATTTAAAAAACTCAGTGCTTTTCCTCAACATTCTGCCGCAACGTTTCAAAGAGCCGGAAAGTAAATAAGCGGCAGAGAGAAATGAGGCAGGTCGAATCTTCTTGTGCTTCACGCATGCGCTGAATTGGAATGTAAGTGTTTTCGGCCGTTTTAATGTGGACGCACAACTCTATGAAAATGACTGAAAACGCTAGTGTGGACGCGGAGCGTTTTCAGACGCTGTTCTCAAATCTATCCGGGCTAGTGTGGACGTAGCCTTAGATGAGTGACGAAATGTTTCTCCCACTGAAAACGCTACGTCCAGAAGAACAGAATCAACTTTTTGGGATTTCCTTACCTGGATGATTGAGCGTGCATCAAGATACGAAAGCTTTGTGTTCTTGGACAGTGGAACTATTCAAAGATTTCTGAATAAACTATTAGTAACTGCAGTTCAAATGGGGAAATCAAATGGGGGAGGGGGGGGGGGAATCAAAGCGATATGTAAATTGAAACAAATGAGAGTGCCACCATTTAAAACTCACTCTTTAACTTTCTTCTCAGAGGCGTCAGAGCCTGGATCAAAGATGCCTTTGGGAAGATGCTGGATGAGTCCTATGCGCTGTGCGATGCGGACTTGCTCCTCCTCAGTCAGCTGACTGGCCAGACGGCTCTCGCCTGGGGTGGGATGGTACACTGGCACAGCCTGAGTGTGCTCCTTGAAATAAATGAAAAGAAGACAATTCGTGTCATCTTTGAAAGGGTGATTTTATATTTCCAGTGGCATCAGAAAACCTGGGACCAGATAAAGATATTTTATTTATTTCCTTGTGTTTTCATATGTTTCTAAATTACCTGAATCTTCATCTTCATTTAAATTAAATTAAAAATTTAAATTAAAATATGATACACCTGTATATCAGAGTTCCTTATGCTTTAAATGTCCAAGACTGAAACACTGAGCAAAAGCAGATTCTGTCTCTACAGGTACAATCTAAATAAATGAACCCTCTAGCACTGATTACTGGACTACAAGCTAACCATCTTTACAATTTTGAGGGCCAAAAAGTGCATATACGCTCACCAGTCACTTTATGAGATACACCTGTTTAACTGCTCATTAATGCAAATATTCAATCAGCCTTTCACATTACTTTGAATGTGGCATATTTGTTGGTAACAGGCAGGTCTGAGCACTTCAGAAACTGCTGATCTACTGAAATTTTCCCATACAATCATCTCTAGGGCTTACAGAGAATGGTCTGAAAAAGAGAAAATATCCATTGAGCCACAGTTCTCTGGGTCACAATATCTTGTCTATGTCAGAGCCCTTGGCATAATTTAAACACCACAGCCTATCTGAGTATCGTTACTGACCAGGTCCATCCTTTAATGACCTCAGTGAATTTGCCTCAAAGTTCAATTCATCTCAAACTGCTTTCTTGATCAAAAGTTCTCTGTACTCACATGGCCTCCACAGTTATCAGATCTCAATCCAATAGAGCACCACATGTGGTGGGACAGGCAAGTCCCATCATGGATGTGCAGCCGACAAATCTGCAACAACTGTGTGATGCTATCATGTCAATATGAACCAACATATCTGAGAAATGTTTCCAGCACCTGGATGCAACAAAGACTTAAGGCAGTTCTGAAAGCAAAAGTAAGTCCAACCCAGTACGAATAAGGTGTACCTAATAAAGTGTTCAGTGAGTGTACATTTCCAAGCATTATAATGTGTTTGCATAATTTCTAGATTTTCAGGTCCACTATTAGGAGACAGGTTGTGTTGAGCCAAACACAAAAAATCGGTTTTGTTTTTTGTTTTTTTAAATGTTTACTTGCTTATAAAGTTAAATGTTAAAAAGCCCTAAATACATTTAGGCAAGTTTCAGCCTGACTTATATATCCGTGACAAAGTGGTGCAAAGGTTTGTACCGTCACCTCTCAGCAAGACGTTCCTGGTTTTCTTGATAATAAGCTGATGACATGAACTAGATAAAGGAACCAATGTTTTAGGATCGAGATAAAGATTGTCACATTGCAAATTATGCGTATACACTGCACAATGTTTTATCCTTTTTTCAAAAAAATATAAGACCCGAACACAAATTATGACTGTGTTTCTAAAATTTTGTAGCAGTAATTTGACTGTGGTATTTACTTTATTCAAGCTTAATTTCTGCATGGTGCAATCTGATCCTGAAAGCTGCGCTGCACAAACTTCAGCTTCCAAATTTAAGATAACAGCAATAACAGCCTCCACCACTAATTAGACTTGAGGGTAGGGGGATTCAATTGTCATGCTCTGGACTCCCCGGGCTGTATTTCACCTGAGACCCGGGCTGCTCTTGGTATGGCGGCGGGGGCTCTCCGGGCAGACTGCCTCCCTCGGAGTCGTTCAGCAGCGACAGGTCATCCGCACCTTGTGAAAATAGACAGTTCCCCATTGAAATGAGACCACCATGAGACTGTCACTTCTTTCTAATGCTGACAGACTCGGCGCTCTCTCTAAACGTTAGCTTGGCTAGCTTTTAGCTGACAGCTGTCATTCGGCGGGGAGCCTTATTTACGGAGAAGCGCTGCAGCTCGTTCGGACGCGATAAACGCCCAACACTGAGCGATACCGTGGCTTTAATAACAACTGGCGACACAAATTTTAACTGTATCAGCGAGAACAATTCTGTGTGTCCGACCGTACGCTATGTTTACAAGAAATACGAGCCGGAACTATATCACCAGGAAGTTTTCTAAACATCAAACATTAAACTTCCGGTAAAAGCTTCAAATTAAAAGTTGAGATGCGAGCTTTGCTGTAAGTGTTGATGGAGAATTATAGACAAGATCAGGAGTTGCACTGTGTCTTTGTGGATCTACAGAAAGCATATGTTAGTATACCAAGATCGGAGCTGTGGTACTGTATAAGGAAGTCAAGAGTGGCAGAAAAGTATGTGAGGGTGGTGCAGGACATGGATGAGGACAGTGGTAAGGTGTGCAGTAGGAGTGATGATAAAGCTTAAGGTTAGGGTGGGATTGCATCGGTGATCTAAACCCTTTCTTGGTTACAGTGGTGATGGACATGCTGACAGATGAGGTCAGGCAGGAGTCTCTGTGTACTATGATGTTTGCACACGACATGATCTGTAGTGACAGTATGGAGCGAGTGAAAGAGAGCCCGGAGAGGTGGATATATACATTGAAGAGAAGAGAAATGAACAACAGCTGAAGCCAGACAGAATACATTTGTGCTAATAAGAATAAGAAAACAGGTGGAAAAGTGAACATGCAAGGAGCAGAGGTAGTGAAGGTAGTTGAGATACCTGGGGGATCATCCAGCAGTGGACAGTATGTGCACAGGAGAGGTGAAGAAGATTGCATGGGCAGAGTGGGGCAGGTGAAGATGATTGTCAGGGTGATTTGTAGCAGAAGGATAGCAGGAAAGTGAAATGAAAGGGAAGGTTTACAAGATGGTAGTGAGACCTGTAGTGATGCATAGCTTAGAGATGGTAGCACTAACAAAAAGACAGGAAGCTGAGCTGGAAGTGGCAGAGCTGAAGATCTAATGCACAGAACACAGTGCAATAGTTACACCCTTTTGTACATGCTCTACAGAGAGAATAGCAAATAAAATAGTTTTACAATTTAGAGTAACATATAAATCATGAACAACATTGCCATCCTCTATGTAGCCGGTGTATCAGAAAAACTCAGGAGAGTCTTTTCCAAGCATGACATCCCAGTATACTTCAGACCCAGCAACACACTCAGACAGAAACTGGTTCATCCCAAAGACAAAACTCCTAAACACAAACTTAACAATGTGGTGTATGCTGTACAGTGCAGTGAGGAATGCCCAGACCTCTACATCGGAGAGACCAAACAGCCACTTCATAAACATATGGCACAGCATAGAAGAGCCACCTCCACGGGACAAGACTCGGTGGTCCATCTGCATCTAAAGGACGAAGGTCACCCTTTCAAGGATAGCAATGTACATATTTTGGACAGAGAGGACAGATAGCTTGAAAGAGGAGTAAAAGAAGCCATTTATGTCCACTGTGAGCGACCATCTTTGAACAGAGGCGGTGGTTTACGACACCAACTGTCGTACATCAACAACATCAACAATCCAGTTTTGCGATCCCTTCCCACACGCCATAACACACTCACATCCTGGGCCATCTGACCTCAGGAAATCACATGATAGGGTGGGGCTAGATTTCACAATGAGCTCACCCGAAACCTTGGCTGATTGTGACCTACAGCCATTTTCACACATTAGCTCATGTGATTAGGTAGAGGATCCATTGTCCCTCTCGGTGGGTTACTCCCACAGAGCTTAAATCTGGGACTTTCCACCATTTTACCCTAGAACTGAAGAAGCTTCTCGGATCAGAGGTGAAACGTCTTCAAGCCACTTAAAGAAGTCCAGATGCTTTTCTTTCCAAGCTCCTTAGACTGTAACCACATAACGTCCTTAACGATGAATAAAATATTCAGCTTCTGACATAACTGCATTGGGTGAAAAAAATAAATAAATAAAACGCTTTTATTCTGAAGGGCATATATTGGTTCCTGTCAAGTGAACGCGAAGAGAGAAAGTTTCGTCTCATTTTTTAACCTTCTTGTGATAAAGAGCTGGCCAATGGTAAGCGAGCGACACATCTTTCTTTCACCAATTAACAAGCTAAACGTTTATTGAGGTCTATATTTTTATCGTAAAACATTAAGCTTTGCATATAAATCAAAACCTGCTATTATCTGGATTGATGTTTGAAACTAACGGACATTTCAGGGCGAAGGCTGCAGCTGGGGTAGACAACCTAGCTACCAAACAACAACCAAAACACATTAAATTCTGCTCTAGATGACCGGACTCATTCGATTTTACAAATTGATTTCTTTTGCGGTTTAAAATAGGCGTTTGAGGTGTTGTACGCGAGCAGGACCGGCCCACATTATGGCCGGGAAATCTGCTACACAGCCGAGTTGTCCCACCATCCCCAATAACCTGGGGATGATGGAACAGCAGCCTGGGTCTAATGTGCCTCCGTTACGGTACGGTATGGCCACCATATACACTCCACAGCGCATACTGTGTGTGGCCCAAACACATAAAACATAGCTACACATGGGGAGCTAGTTTCTCTCAGCCGTGGCAGAGAGTGGGCTGAACCCCGAGAGAAAAGTGTTCACACCCCGTGTGCACATACACGAAGCCACTTTATATGCTCGTACTGCTCTTACCCTCTGTTATGGTCGTACTTTAATGTCATCTGAGCCATTTTCATTCAGTTTCATGTTGCTTTGTTGAATTAATTGATCGATTTTACTCTATAGAGCCACTTTATTGCGTTATATGTTCATTTTTACAGACGCTTTTTATTGTATTTTATTTAGATTTTTACGTATCGAGCTTATCGGATTATATTGAGCTTTACACATGTCATTGAGCTCCATGTAGATTTTTTCCTTTATGACTTCCTTTATTATTTATTGTGTGTGTGTGTGTGTGTGTGTGTGTGTGTGTGTGTGTGTGTATTGTTTTCATTTTGTGTTGTTTTGTACTATTGTCTTCTATTTTGAGTGGATGGAGCTATTTTACTTTATTGAATGTATTTTTTTCGGTAGCACTTTATAATAATATAATAATAAGTGCTTAATTCCTCGTGTATATAGCATTACTCCTTAGTATGCAATTTTTAAACACAGATACATTATTATGACCATGATTATGATCGTGATAATTACTAGCAGTCACTTAGTAGCAGTGATAGCTTTACATAGTTACACCATGTACAGCAGTGATAGTTGTATATGGTGTAACAACATCAGATCAGGAGGATTATGAAGGCACGTAGGCTGATGTTCATTTTCCTGATGTTTCATATGACTTTTGTCATGTGACTTTGTCTTGTTTTGCCCAACTCTTGTTCTTCTATAAATGCCAGGCAAATGGACGATAAGCTGCTATTTGCTAGCCTGTTTTTGTTGTTTTGCATTGTTTTGTCCTTTTGTCCCATATGTGTCAAAGTGCACATTTTTAAGTGCTGTTTGATATAAAAAGAGTCAAAACTCAGGAGAACAAGTGTGGATTTTATTTCCTTGTTCTTTTACTTGTGAAACAACCATTATGATGGACTCAAAGTCAAATACTTTGCTTTTGTTTTTTATTTATTTTTTATTGCATCCATACATATATTGTTACCTACCTAAGCTTAAATTTAGATTACCATAATTATTTAATATGCCACACTAAGGTCTCTTTTTCAGAATATGACTAACCCAAACAATATCCATTGCTAAGTTGTGCAGTTGTTCTTGGTGATTGAATGCATTTCAGTTCTGTAAGTGTTGGGAATAAAATAAACAATATTTAAAGAAGCCTAATTGCCCATTATACATCGTTCCTGTTATAAGAAATTCCTAAACTACCAGAAATAGAGACCTGAAATCATTGTCAGTAGTCGCAGCTACAGAGACCCACTGGTGCTGTTGTGGTAACTCGAGTCATGTTACAGAATTGCCTGCCTGCACATCAGACTGTCTCTAATGGCACTTCATTCATTTAGGCCTCGGTTCAGCAACCCCCTCCACCCCTTCCACCCCCTCCACCTGTTACTTTGGCTTCTGGAAAGCCTCCATCTTCACCGTGCCCTCAGCATGCTGCAATACCAATACCTCCTGAATATCCTCCAGTTCAGGAGACAAGTGGATCATCGCAGGCAAATTTCTCAGAGGTAAATGTCTCCCCCACAGTCTGTGGTTATACTGACATGAGACCCTTCAAAAAGTTTCATGATTTAATCTCTCAACATCCAGAATGGATCATCTCCACCCCTGCAAAATGGATTACAGGTTCCACCATCGCAAGACAGTGCAGGGCCTGAGCTGTCAGATGGTGATGAAGAAAATAAGCACCTCCCAGTGCAGGAAACAGACCCTGCACCGCAGACGTTAGCCCAACAGGTCAGTTGTCTCTGAGCAGAAACTTAAAAACTGATTTTCATTATTAAAAAGACTAATTAGATTCCATCTTCTTCAGAGTTCTGGATCCAGGGTGCCCGATGAAGCTGACGCTCAGGCAGGTGAGAATGGAGAGGAGCGCATGCCCTGAGGAGCTTCAGTTACTTGCTGATACTTGAAATTTCAAGCAGTTGGGATCATTTGAATGTCATTATATTGCAGTGAACTTCTACTTTGTCTTTTTAATTTTAGCTAGGCTCTACGAAGCGCTTTGCTATGTGTTTCTCATTCAGTCATAAAAACGTGTACTTCATGAAGTTCATGCCTTGCTTATGGAATTTGCACATAGTTAAACTACTAGCTATTAGAGACAATCCACTTACCTACCTTAGCCACTCCTGAACAAGCCAAAGTACATTAAAATCATTAAAGTACCTCGGTGACCTTGACCTCAAGGTCAGAGGTCAAGTTTTCTGAAAATCTGGTGAATACAATAACCAAAGAAGAAAGTAATGATTTTCAAATCTATACTATAGGTGCATCTACTAGGAGGCTGAGGGTAGCATTAGCGGCCATAAGTATTTTTTCCATTATTTTTAATTTATTGAATATGAGGAAAGAAAATGTCTAACTTTTCCCCCAGTTTACCTTTCACAGGCAGGGATATATTACTGGTTGAAGTAAGGAAAATATTTTGAAACTTGATCAAATCGATGCCAAATCATAGGAGTTTATGATTCATAATTCTAAAGTCATTTTAATTTATTTATGATCTTAAATCTTTGAAGTGATCAAGCAGTCATCTGATGCCTCGTGCTCTTTGGCACTGTAACCGGTAAGAAGTGCACTATTGCCATGTGGGGAAAAGAAAAAAGCTCACCAGCACATGCACTTTGTCAGAAATTTTTAATGTGGTTGTTGAATATACCTCAGTGATGTTTTATTTCTGGTTTACTTTAATTTGTCATGACTTACGCTGAAACACAGGACCATACTGCACATACTTAGTGTGAACACTCATTTGTAAAAAGTCATTACCGTGCAGCGTATTAACCAACAACGTTTTGCTCAAAAATAGTATTTAAAAACTAATTTTGGTCTTCCAAATAAATTATTGTCATTTCTTTTTATCTGTTTGTATCAGTGTATTTAACGTTATGTTCGTGTGCTAATGTGCTTACTGCTGGCTGGACAGGAATCCTTTCCTGGAGTATGAGCTAGTAGCTCAGAATACTTAAGTCAAACTTGCAGCTGCAGTGCTTGAAACCTGTAAATGTATCTTTAAAAAAACCCCAAATATTTAAACACTGTTGAACCAAATTTTGTCCTTTTTTTGTCACTTGCCCTTTTTTTTTTTTTATTAAACTTTTTCTTGTTTTGAACACTTGCATTACTGTTTTTGAAGGAAGGCTTGACAGTGTTTGGTGAGTTCCATAATGCAGCGGTCCCCAACCCCCGGGTTTGGTACTGGGCCAGGAGAGTTGAAGCTCGGGTGTTAAATGTATGGTTTTCAGAGTTTTCATCGTTAACTCGGTTTCCCTGGGTCTTTTCCTGTGTTGTAGTTGTGCGTCTTATTTTCAAAGAAATATTTACGCATTACCATAGCGACCAGAGAGCATTAAGGGCCAGAGAGGAGGACGTTACTCACAATGTTGTTGGCGCTGCTAATAAAGTTACAAAATTACACAGTGAATTTGTGTTTATTATCATATTTACAAAATACCACCGTTTTTTTTCTTGGTCGTATCATTTTATTTTGTTGTATTTATCCGCGACACCTTAAAGGCCGGTCCGTGAAAATCTTGTCTGACATTAAAACGGTCCGTGGCACAAAAAAGGTTGGGGACCACTGCTTTAATGAATGCAACAAAGAGCCTGCAGGCCCTGCTAGCAGCTCTGTGAGGCTGTACCACTGCGAATCACATTGAGTGAAATGCGAACGCTCAGGTCACAATGCTATCAATCTGGTTTTTAACAAGTATAACGTTTAATAAGTTTCCCATCTCATTTTAGACGGGGACCAGTGCAGTTAAAGCTTTAAAGATGATCCATGTCGGCAATACCAATATTCTTTCTTTGCACATTTTGCACCTCTATACCAAAGTTTCAAGAAATCAGCTTGATGGTGTTTTAAGAAAAAGGAACAGCGCTGACAACATACTAGAAACTGGAGATAAAAATGACATAAATAAATTTCTAACTTTGTTATAAAGTATTTAGTTTGCAATTATTTTGACCAACTAATTTCATAACACGACATGAAAAGTGATTAAATAACCAAATTCAGCAGTTTGCCCTCTGGGCACTACTGACATTCCACATTTGAATCTGGAACAAAGAGGTGGGGCATGTAGCCTGAATGCTTTCAAATTCCAAACACCCTGCAAAGAGACAAGTTATTTTTTAATGTATGCAAGTCCAGTTTAGAAACACTAAGGACTGAAGTATATTAACAGCTGTTCCTGAGGCATTTCTTTTATGCATTATCCTACATACTGAAAGAATGACATGGCACAGCAAGATGGTACAGTCAAGAACATCCTTTTTATTCAATCAGGTGCTGCTCTTCTCAAACTGTGTTTTTCTTCTTATGGAAAAGAAACTGTAATTAACACATGCATTTCACCTAGAGCTCTGGGGGTGTTCTCACAAAGAAGTGGTGCTGCACTGAGGGCATAGACAGAGGCATAGAAGACTTGGGAGTGAGGGGGCCTAGGGTGCTGCCTAATTCACCATTAAACCATACACACTTAAGAAGAAAAAGAACTAAAATAAACAACAGAACAAAAACACGGATTAATCCTGCATGAGGTGGTCGGAGGAGAAAAATGGAGGGACTCCCTGGATCCTCAAAAATCTGAGAGATCAGGTTCATGCTGGCCTTTTTCTATCTGGTTGATGTGTGGTGAATGGCTAATACTGCTGTGGGTTTCCATGTGTGAAACCCACTGTAAAAATAGCAATAAAGAAAAAAAAGAGATTCACTTTATAAGATTGGTTAAAATGGATGTGGGATTTATGCTGGTAAAGCATCGCCCCTCTTTCAGCCTCATGCACGACAAGTCCGGTTATAAGGTGCTTGTAGCTTTCATTTTACAGTCCAAGGCATACTCAAAGAGAGCCTAAACGACAGCATACCCTGATAGCAAATATGAAAAGAACTCCAAATTAAAAAAGGAAACAAAAAAGAGGGAATAAAACAAAGCCAAAAAATAAATACCTTAAACAAAAAGAGCAAACTCTTATCCTAGCCCATGCAGCCCCTTTCCAACTTCCCAAAGCAGTTCATCTATCCCTCTCAACCCCATTAATCTTCCCCTTAAACCTCTTGAACCCAAACCCCTGAACCACTGTCGTCCCTTCCTCACCCACCCAGGGACACCCCCAAAAGCCCGTCAGCGTAATTTGTTCACTTACATTAGCTGCTGAATGGAGAAGCTGAAGAAGATGGGTATGGTAATACAATGTGAAGCATACAGACAAGAATAACATGTGAGCTAACTGCATTCTGCTCAGACAAAAGTTTTTCGGCAATATTTTTTTTTCATCCTCCCAACAGCAGAGAGGGCAGGAGAGAGAGAGAGAGAAAGAGAGAGAGAGACGAGAGTGACAGACACACAGTTACAGACTACTCCAGTGTCTAAGAGAAAACAGACAGTGGAGACAGAGGGGAAGAAAAAAGCAAGAGCTGAACGAGAACAAGTTTTTTTGCCTTTTCAATTTTTTTTCTCATTTATCAATAAAAAGTAAAGAACTAATTCACACCAGTTTCCTTTCGTACTATATATATGTATATATATATATATAGCTTTGAAAAGGAAGAGAGGATAGAAGGGAAGGAACAATGGAGGGAATTCATTTTCGAAGCCGGAGGAAAGAGGTGCCCCTGATCGCTGAATGGGTGATGACCTTTTGCCTCCTTACAGCACTCAGGGGCAACCTGCTACCTCAAGCTGTTTCAAGGAAAAAAACAAATGAAAAGAAAAAAAGGGCCATCTTGATTACAAAATGGAGTCTGTGAACAAAAGGCACTTTCAAGGGACAACCTTTAACTGCTGGGAAACTATACACTACAGCACAAGCACTATAAGAGTCATTTACAGAGGAGGGGGTGGAACAGGGGAGAGGCTCACCTTGCTGCCTGTTTCACAAATGGCTCAGACCTCATATGTATGCCAGATTAAAAGCTTCTTTTACCCCTTTTCTGCTAACTGTACAGAAGGTCTCGGTCCACTTCAACGTCAGGTGTCTCAACACAGCCTGCTGAGCTCCATCCAACTCCAGATTTAGAAACATACTCGGATGATAATGGGAAAAAACTGATTTTGGGATGTGAAGTATCTCCGCAGTACTGGGAGAGACTTGTCATGTGTCAATGCCAATGTATGTGATAAAATGAATTAACTGGGAAGGTTTTTTGTTTGTTTTGTTTTGCTGGTGAGTTTCAGGCAGTGCGCAGGTAGGTTATTTAAAGAGTTTCTTGGGCTCGACAGTATAGGTTTGCTTTATTTCTTCTAAGGGTTGAACCAAAATGCCTTTTGTGTCACAACCTTAAGGAATAGGAACCTCTCCCCCCACTTAATACAAATAGAAGAATACAAATAGAGAGAGGAATAATGCAGTTTCCTAAATGGTCTGTTATTTTTGTTCACTCATTTATAATAGTTCTGAATGTACTTTATAGTGTTAAAGCACCAGTTTTTCATCTGATGATAGAGATTTTTTTTCTGAAGTTGTGTACATTTTTTTTTCCTTCAGCCCTCCCACATTTTTATAAACAAATGATTACACATATAACATTAAAAAAGAGACAAAGGAAATAAAAACAAATACCCCCAACTTACAAAGACTAGGATTTCTCGTGGCCCTCTAGTTTAGAGTCCCGGAGCATATGGACTTGAAACAAATACATTTTTTTTTCTCTTTTCTCTTAGCTTTCTTAAAAATCTCTAACAGACAAACACAATGATCTACCCAATGCATTGCACGTGGCTCAATCGACACATATTTTTCAATAATAATACTTTCCATCAAAAAACAAACACTTTTTTTTTCTTCAAACCTACTGTCGATTTTTGACATGTTCATCTAGGTATTATAATGCTGCGCAGCAGATGGCAATGGCGTGTGTCGTTTAATTCGTATTGGTAACAATATGGTGATGTTACTGAAACAGGTCGTGGGGCGGGGTGGGGGAGGGGGGTAGTGAGGGGGGGGGGTGAGTGTTCAGAAAATAACTAGACTGCCAACAAGCTCGTAGTAAAAGTTACAAAGGAGCATATATCATAAATATATATGTATAAGATCTCTCTCTCTGTTTTTACAAAAAAAAAAAGAAAAAAAAGAGTTTGCAGTCCTCTATAAAGATCTGTCCTAGGCCAATGATTTCCACATGCACCAACGCTACCATGCCCATGTAGCTTTAGCTTATATGTGGGAAGAGAACCTGAAGTCAAGTTTATTACTAATTGCATGAAGGGAATACAGAGGCACTTCCATATATTGTTATAGTCTCGATATATGGTTTTAGTACATAGAGCTAATGTTACTAGAGAGGCTGAGAACGAGCCCTCAGCCCTGTTTACTATCCCTGCAAAAACAGAACCAACAGCTAGGCAGTCCAGTTATTTTGTGAGGTCGGCTTTTGTTGGATTGTGTCATGACAAAAAATAATACCAACAGCGATTTCAGTGTGAACATTTACATAGAAAAATATGTCAAATTAAAAATACAAATTTTAAAATGAATGAAAAACCATTAAAAGGCAGTTTGGAGAACCAGTATAAAGGCTTCCCTTTATAAATTTAAACCAGGTTGTTGGTGGTGTTATTTTATATGTGCATCTGTGTGTGTGTAATCCTCTGGGTTTTCTTGTGAATAGACTACGGGACACGGGGTGAAGCAATGCCAGGGTTGCGTGTGATGAGCTGTCGTTACTGTGCTGTCCATACATGAGAAATTTGAGAAACTGCTGTTTCCATTTTGCTGAAATTCGAGCGTGATACTATGTGTTACTGCAAACTAAAGAAAAATGTTATGACATGCAAGAGAAGGTTAAAACAATCCAGCCAGAGACAGAGACAAAACCAAAACCAAATCTGGAAAAAGAAAAAAAATCGCAAGTAAACAACTACAAACAAAATTAAAGCAAATAATATGAAGCCGATGCTGTGTGCGCCTTATTGTAAAAGCAATATCTATGGATTAAAACAAGATGATTTTGTGAGTGGTTTTGTGACCGACTTTACTGGAAAGGTTGGTCTGCATGTGCTGCCTGCAAGCTTGCATGTGTGTGTGCATGTGAGTGCTGTATCTTTCAGGGCCTGATGCTAGCACAGCCCCCATACCTGCAGCCTCGATTCACTTCTCTAATCGCTCATCTGACCATCAGTGTGCAATACTGTTCATCCCTTAAAAAAAATTAATAGTGCATAGGTAAGGGGACGAGAGAGCAAGTGTAGAGTTAGTGTTATGACTATCTGTGTGTTCACCTTCTTGCCTTCGTGCCTCATGGCCGTCGTTTCTCCCATAGCAGGACACCCTGGTACATTGACAGGTAAACAAAGACCAGCCACTTAGTGCATATGTGTCACACCATTGGACTGGATGGTGTCAGCATGATTGGCCAATCCGAAGTGAAAGAGGCTCAGGGCTGAGCAGATGAAACAGTGGGGTGAGGGGACACTCAACTACGAGGCTGCAGTTACAGCTTTGCCCCTGACAAGCACTGAGCTCCAAGTGGGACAGGCTGTGTGGGGTGGTGAGTGTCAGGTGGGACCATGTACCTGGAGGAGAGATATGCAGATATGGAGGCGTGCTATTTGGGTGGCAATCTTTACAAGTTGCACATCTGACTTCACCATTTACCACTACTTGTTCTTTTTTGGATCTCCCAGCCAATGCATGGAGTTTCATTGTGGAGACAACAAAATGGAAAAAAACCATTAAAAAAAAAAAGAAAAAAAAGAAACAAATGTATAATTGGTCATTTGTCAGTTTGCCATATTGTGTTTCCTTTCTGACAATTCACGGTGTGTGAGACAGTTTCTCATCTTCTTCTTCCTCCTTGCATTCTGAGTCTGTCCACTCAATCTTGTTGAAGACTCCTGCGCAAAAGGGGACGAATGTTCCTGTTCAAATCGTGTTGAATTGGGAGTCCTCTTGGGGCAGCGTGGGGTTTTTCGGGGTTCTGTAGTAGTACTTTGAATAGTGTTGGCGAGAGAGAAAGACCTTTTAGTGTCAGCAGTTTGTTCTTTTTCAGCGGCGATGTGTTTGTTTTGTCAAATTTCCAATTTTCATGACACAATTTTAGCTGTTGATTCAGAGAGGCCTTGTCAGAGGAACCAGGACTGTAAAGATAAAAAAAAAGAACATAAATGTGTTTAGTTTTTCAACTCCCATCACCACAATTACATTTTGATTAAGCCACATTAAAAAAATTTTTTTTTGTGTGTGCAGTGTGCAGTGAGGAACACAGAAGAATACCTACCAAGCACATGCACAGAGACATGAAAGAGCATAAAGCGTTATGGACTATGATGACAGAACAGCATTCTACACACAAGTTTTAATCCTTGTATCAATCAACAGTTTATGTTGAGGACATGTGCAACAAAACCTCAGTGCTATTGGTGCCAGTTATTATTATATCATTGATTCCCAACCTTGTGTTCAGGACTCCAACAACATATCACAAAATCAAACTGACAGGAAAAATATAACAAAAACATATTTGTGAAACGTCAAATTGTGAATATTTTTTTAGTTGTCTTTTCTTAATAATAATTTTTCTAAACTATTTATAATTTCTCCTCTTTTATTATTTTCAAATAATTAAATTCTCTCTGACTGAACAGTTTACAACCAGGAGGTATAAAATATACTGATTTGGTTTGAAGGCCTGATGCTGAACGGGAACACCAGGTATTTATCCACTAGGGGGCCACCTATTACCCCTTTTCTCCTTCACTTACAGTACTTAACTGAACTCAGTAACACACGGTGTCACAAAAGTTACTACCTTACCACTTGCTGCTTTTAAGAGGGCTGACTCAAGCTTTTTTACTCATTAAAAACAGTTGTGTTATTACAGAGTTACAAGTTCAACTAGGGCAGCATCTTTTGTGTCAGTCCTAAAGACTTTTCATTAAGCAAACACGGGACTATTGCTGTTCTGTCATGGGCAACCAGTTTACATGTAAGGTGATCGTCCTGATATGCCTCTGCTCTGTGGGCCAGAGTCGGCTCAGGCTACACTGTAAAACTACGGAGGGCAGCTACTCTGGGGATCCAGTTTCTGAGTTTGATAAGACGGCAGAGCGAAGGCTTTGGCACAGACCGAGCTGTTCTGGCTGCCTCTGACATGCCTCGGCCCGGTGAGAGCAGAGACTCACGGCACCTTCGACAGCAAACTCTGTCCCCCCCACCCCACAAAAAAAAAATCAGAAAACCCAGAGAAAGTTTCAAAACCCTTAAACCTCCATCTATTCTCCACCACTCTACCTTACTTTGGTGTTTGAAGATAATTCCTCCTCCTGGCTCCAACTTCCTCTAACCCCCTTCTTTTTTCCCCTCTCTCACTTACTCTGGCTCTCTCAGTGCAATCCTTGGCAGTGGAAAGTGACCCCCCCACTCCCACCCTCACGCCCCCCCCTCTTCAAGTCCAAGTTCAACTGCCTATGACATCATGTCTCGTTGCTGCGGGCAACCAGACAGCCAGGACGTGACTGTGGAGTGCAGCGAGCTTCAACTAACCCCCTCTCTCTTTTTTCCCTCCCATTCTCTCAGTCCCTCTTACTTTTCCATGCTTGCCGCCCCCCCACCGCCCAACTCTCTCTTCCTCCTGCATAGCTAAGGTTTCACCACCAGAGAGCTCCTCAGACCAGCTTTTCTCTACTTATTGCTCTGACGGCAGTGGGAAGACACTCTCTCCTTCTGTCTTGGCTAGTTGGCTAGCAGGCACCAAGGCGGGCTGGCAGGACTATCGTCTGAACCTCGCCATATGCCAGAGAACAGCAGGATAGGCAGAGACCTCTGTTACTCACTCTGGCTGACACTGTTGCTGACCTACTAGGCTCAGTAACTGGGAGCATTTGCCCAGGTTCTCGCTGTGCTTGCTGTAAACCCGGCAGAAATGTTCAAAGTGGACATTTTTCAATAATGTTTGATAAGCAATTGCTGGAGATAATAAGCATTTTGAACAGATGTAAGCTGTTGTAAAAGCCCTGTTGTTTTTAGGAGGGAAAATGAGGGGCAAGAGATTTGGCACAGAGTTGAAGTGTATGTGCATATGCGCTAACACACATTTGGATGGTGTTTGAATCTCCCCTCGGTGCCAGAGCTACATCTGTAGGAGAGTGGTGCAGGTGGGGAGCTTGAAACTAGTAAAGGGAGCAGCAGGAGGAGCGAGAGGGAGAGAAAGAGAGAGAGGGTGGGCTGCTGATCCACAGGGGAGTGAAGGGGGGGGGTTAAGCAGAGCTGTGCCGAGGAGGAATGCAGATTGTTTCCATGTGTGGGGAGGACAGGACAGCCGAGTTGGCTGCAGGCAGGTGCGGTTAGCCCCTAATGAGAAAAGTTGTGTTGGTGATGGAGTAGGCCCAAGACACTACAGCCCAGTGGCAGAGCACAGCCAAAGCTAAAAAACCACAATGTAGTGCACTACTGGCCTCACATGCTGCACTAATGCACACTGTGGGGCCTTGCAGAGATAAATCAACACTGCTGGAGCTGAAACTAACTGGCACTGCTTACAGTCACTGTGGGGAAGCTACTGTGGTATCAGCACTGTAAACCAATACTGAAACTAAAGGCCTTGATACATGGGCAACACTTTATTAAAATGTAGCTGAGCAAATGGGCAAACAGTTGATGGACAATATCTGTTAAACGTTGAAAGCTTATAAAACGTTTATAAACTAAGCTTGAATCCATGTCCGTGACAGCTGAACAACCCGATAAAAACGGTACGATACTCACGCTAAACTACTGACCCTGAGTAGAGACGGTGTGAGGAAAAAGGTATGATTGGCTTTCCGCAATACTTATATCATTTATGCTGCTGGGGTCGTGTGCTGAATAACTGATCGTAGCACGTTTTCGGTGCACAGCCATTGTCTGAGTATTGCCTCTGTATCACGGCCTTCACCCTGAATGTCATGCTTGTCCATTTAAACCATGGAAAGTTGTATGTGTGCACAGGACTGTGCAGCGTTAGGCTTGCAGCGGGTGGTGAGGGAAAAGGAAGAAAAAGACATAAAACAGAGGGGGAGGAGGAGGAGGGAGAGGTGGATATGTGGATGTTAATTAAATGAGGGAGGTTGGCGGGGTACCTGGGTCTGCTGGGGGATATTCAGAAAGTTGTCCCGTGTTCCGATGCCGACAAACCGGTTGGGAGCTGTGGAGCCTGGCGTGGAGTATGCTATAAACAGAGAGATACAAGTGTGTACATGCTTTTACACACACACATACACACTCAAATTTCTATATATTTAATCTACACTACTATAAACCTGCTTAGGCTCTTGCAGTATATCTGTCAAATAAACTGGTGGGAAAGGGTCAGGGATACTGATTCTGTATTAGTCACATGGGTGATTTGTTCATGCTGTGGACAGGTTCACTGTTATTCAACCTAACCATTTAATCTGTGGTTAAGAAGGGGGCATAATGTAATGATTAGTGCTAACATGGAGAAGCCTTCTGTTAGCCACAGACGCTCCTCAGCAGCCCCTGGCCTCAATAACAAGCCACAGTGATCACAGAGAACCACGAATGATTCACTGTAGACTTGATAAAAAGTTGGTCTATGGAGGAACTGTACTCATCATCACTGCTCCTTTTGCATTTAACAGGTTCACAGGAGCATCTTGCCTACACAGTGACACCACTAAAGAATGCCACAGGATCAAATTTAGGGCAGTTGTGCTCACTGGACTCCAACATGAAGGCTGAGTAAAATCTTTACTGTGCATGGCTTGAGTGAGTTGAGGGGATGGGAATGTGTAGGGGTGACAGCGACAGGGCTGGAAACTGATGCATGACTGAGGGTGAGAGTGTACCGTGTGTGTGTGTGTGTGTGTGTGTGTGTGTGTGTGTGTGTGTGCGTATGAGTTTCATGGCTGTAATTAAGATATCTTGAGAATTAAAGACAAAATTAGAGGGGAAAGAAAAAAATACACTGATAACAGTCACTGGGATGAGAAAAGAGACGGAAAGTACGATATTTATTTATATAGATTTTCATATAAATAAATAAGAGTGACATGTTAATCTGTGAGAGCTGGAAGGAGGGAGGGGAGAAAGACTTGATAGGACAGGAAGAGGAGAAAGAGTTCAAACAAAAAGAGGAGAAGGTGCCCCGTTGCTCCATCCAGTGCCCCCTCTTGGTGTGCCTCTCCCATGGCCCGACTCTCGTACTGCACCTGTCTGGGTGGAACCAACCAAAGCCTCACCACTCTCTGCCGACACTCCTTTCTCCCACTCCCCCGGTATAGCACTAATTAGATAAGTTTGATTAGATTTCATCATTCATGTTTAGAGAGATGGGTTGTTGTTCTTGTTATACTGTGATTTTCATGTTTTTTGTTGTTCTCAATTTTTAATTGTTGTGAGATTTGTGTGAAGGTGGCAAGGGGATTGGGTGGGTAAAGTGGGGCATGATGTTTTTTGGAGTCCACGCCAACTGCCCTAATTTTGTTCCCTTAAAAAGAAAAAAAGAAAGAAAGAAAGGAAAAAGAAACAAAGAAAGGAAGGTGTGATATCAAATAAAGTAGAAAGCAAAAAACGAAATGAGAGAAGGGGGTAGATTGTATTGCTGCTGTCACAGACAGACATGCAAAGTCTGCATTGATCAAAGGCTTGCAGCTACAGAGGCAACGTGCACAGGGCCCTGCTCTGCTCTGCTCTTCCAAACTACAAAACACATGAAAAAGAAGGGAGAGAAACTACACTGCCTCTTGTGGTGCTAGCAGGAAACCCAACACCAGAGAAAGAAAAATAGAGAAAAAAGACTTCAGGATAGGGAAAAGTAGGAGGTTAAGGTGGTTTGCAAAGACATGAAGAGAGAAAAGGAGACTGAATTTCAGAGGAAGACAGAGAAAGCAATACAAAGGAACCTGACAAGGGATCTCTGGTTTGGCAAAGGCGTGGCTTCTGCCTTCTCAAAATCGGTTCTTGCTGGTTCTGTACAGCAGAGTATATTGGCAGTCAAAAAGATGATAGGAGAAACAGGACTGAAGCTCTCGGGGCTGCTGAGTGTTTGAGTAGATTCCATCTTACTATGTGGAAACTATACCAGTAGCCATTGTAGGAGCCCCAAACCTGTGCATTTCCAGGAGTTAAACCAGAAGCTTACACTGCACATGAATACTGGGACTTCTATGATGGTTACGTCTTTTCTAGCCTAAAAAACTTCATCTGGTATTGGGATACATAAAATTTGCTGCCAGGTAGGGGCTAACAAACCTATGAGGGCCTAAAATTGGTTCGGACTGGTTTCTAAAAAAAGGCTGTGGGGAATATGGGGTATTAATAGTGGTCTGTGGGGAGGAGTGGGAGTGGGGAGTGACTTACACGGAGATGCGGGTGAGCTGAGTCCGCCGTCAGTCGGCGTGCTGATGGTTTTAGAGTCGGGCATGGGGAGGGGCACAGGGCGAGCCACCGGGGGTGGCGGGGGCAGCAGGAAGGAGCCCGGCATTTTGCTCTGGCCACCTCCATTAGGCTGCAGATGGACCATACAGACAGGGTGAGCAGGACACACCCCGAGAATATACAGTATATAGGAAGCCAGACACACACGTACAACACAAAGTCACACAGACAGAGCCCCATTTAAATACTGGAGACTCATATACAGACAAAACCATACAGAATCCAAACAGACAGACTAAAACACACCCATACTTGCACACAGGGTTGAGGGAGACTCACATAGCTTTAAGACAAAACAAAAAAATATTCCCGTCTGGTCAAAAGTAGTGAAAAAAATAAGATGTGGAAAAGTGATGAACATCGTCACACACAGGGGGAGAAGAAAAACTGAGTTTTCCATGAGGGACAGTGAGGGATTGTTAAGGGAAGTCGTTGCGGCGCAAGAAGGAGAAAATCAGCAATGTGTACAAGATGTCTTGGTGCTTGCGTGCCTGTCCATCATGTAGTGCAGATGCAATAAAAAAAGATGTTACTGTTTCTTTAGAGTGTGAAGTAACGTGAACAAAGGATAATAGGTCATGAAAAAGGGCTTGAGGAAGTTAATATAAAAAGCCAAGTTTGCAGTAGAGGTTTACAGTAGTACCTTATTTAATGTGTCAGAATAGTTCAGAAATACCTCTGAAAGACCAGCTGTATGCTCTGTTTTGCTGATTGTATCTGTAGCTTTCAGCACAGTGAGTATGGGATTGTTATTGGGGAGCTCATCTGGGTATCACCCTTTACTAAAGTTTCACCTAATTAGACCCACGGCACTTAAGGCTCAGCTGTGTCCCCAAAAATCCCCCCTTCAGCTTCTGCAATGAGTTTCTTCTCCATCTACAGCTGCACACTAGCTCCCACAGCTTGGTGTGTTTCAGTAATCATCTTTTAAATCCTTCTGCAGTGTGACTTTTTTTTTTTTAGCATTTTACTCTCATATACAAAAATGCTAAATAGATAACTACTTTTCAATTATCTATTATTATCTATTATATTATTATCTATTAACTATCTGCCACAACATTAAAACCACGGGCCTAGTACCGTCTACGTCCCACTCGTGCCAGCAAAATAGCAAATCCAGATCTAGACCTCAGAAACTGTTCTGTGTATTAAGGGAGCTGAAAGCTATAAGTCCTGTAAGTTAAAAAGTGGAGCCTCCATGGATCAAACTAGTTTTTACATCCCACATAGACTGAATTGAGATCTGAGGAGTTTGGAGGTGAAGTCAGCACACTGAACTCTTTGTCATATTTGTCAAACCATTTCTGAACAATATTCATAGACGTCATCCACACGATCCAAGATGTCCCAGCAGACCGCCACACTGCCTCCACCAACTTGCCTTATTCCTGTCGTGCATTGTCAAGAGACTGACACACATCTGGCCACCTTCTTCCATGGTCTAGCTCTGAAGCTCACATATATCCCAACATTTATATACCAGGTCCATTGTAATCCAATAATAAATAATATTCAGTTCACCTTTCACCGGTTTACATATTGTGGCTCGTTGGTGTATATTACTCGGTCTCAACGGCACACATTATGCCAAGAAAATTATCGTGGCATACTGCGAAGGGGCATTTACCTCTAGAGAGAGTTTTGGAGAGTAAAGGAATGTCACAAAGGATGACAGTCAATAAATCACTACTGGAGCACAGATGTAGTCTTTAAATATCTACTTCTGGTTTCTTCCAAGGATACTCTCCAAACAAAATTAATCTTGATCTGTCTACAAATCTGGTCTCGCCAAAGCTTTCAGCCTTGCTTCTCTAAAGTAAACGTTTAACCCAGTGCATACCTACAATATGGCCGGCCACGCTACAAAGGCTTCTGTTCCTGACAGACCCCTCCCCATCTGAACATTTCAGACGGGCATAATCTTCCAATTCTGGGAGAAGGCATGGCATTATATTATATTGAGCCTGTGATGAAAATGTGCTCTGGCGTCTTCCCCCATAATTTCCTCCAGCTGAGTTTTTTCTGATTAAGCACATCTGGCCCCCTCCTCCTGTTGATTTGCCCTGCGACCATCCCTGGTGGAGCCGTTTCACTTCATAAAGATTGTTCTGTATGCAGGTTTTGGCTTACTGCACCTTCTGTGTATTTACTTGTTTGCACTACATCCTCTTCAGTAACTTCCATTAATAAATACACCAGTTTTAATAATATTTCATAGTAGTTTGTTTTCCAAACTAATGTAGCACACCATCCTTCAGGCACTGCTCCTCCTTTTGCAGGATCCATAGAAAACTTACCTGTGCGCTGGGCTGGCCTGTGCCGTCGGTGCAGACAAACTGCACAAACTCCTTAAGCGGGTCCTGGTGGTGATGGTAGCGTATGGTGGGGTGGGTGAAGTACGGGCTGGACTGCTGGATGATAGAGGAGGAAGGGAAGTGCAGGGCTGAGGCTGAGGCACGGGGACTCCCTGAGAAGAAAAGTAGATAGGAGAGAGGAAAGGAAAGGGGAGGAGGAAGAGAAACATAAAAAGAAGAGAGACCGAAAGTGGAAAACAAATGCAGTGAGCTTAAGGTCATTCTGTTGTATTTCTACACAAATACAGCACACTATGATAGAGAGTACATGAACATGCACACCTACGACACCTATGCTAACATGAACATGCATATATTTTAACTAAGCGCTAAGACAGCTGGCATCAATGTCCAAGTTGTCATTTAGGCCCCATTATTGTCCTAACGCAGAAAATAGCTGTGACACTCTTGTGGTTGACTGACTGAAGCTGTTTCTGCTTACAAATGACTGGCATTATCCCTGGCTATTGAGCAACATCTGGTCCCATTCATTTTATAAATCAGCCCACTAGATTTCTCTGTACCTCTGGTAAGCCTGGCATCACAACACATGCACACACACAGTTTCACAGCCACATAAACGCTAGTGTGTTACAGTATTTTCTGCCTTCTGCTCCCTCTTCATTTCTCTCTCTCACCCACACACACACACACACAGACACAGACACACACACACACACACAAACTGCTCGGGTATGACAGAGTCACACTCACACACGGACACACACACTGGGTTTTTCCACTTTTGTTTTATTGCTTGTCAGTGATGTGTAATCAATCAGCAGCGTATCCTTGCTGTGCGGTTCTGCCCAGTAGTTTGAAGCTTGAGAGAGAATCTCCCCTCTGCTCCCAACCGACCACAAAACACCTCCCAGAGACATTAGTCAGCCAGCCAGCCAACCACACACACACACATTCACAATCTAGGCTCCACTGTCTGTCCTGTCTGCTGTGATTCTATGGCTTTGGCAATTTGGCACACCAAACTAAAGAGGCAAGCTGCTAGGTGAGGGGAGTCTGGCGTACAAGCATCTGTGATTATGTCTGTCACCTACTATCTCTTGTGGATACTGTACTCACAAAGTGAAGTTCAAAGTTTCCATGTTTGGTGAAACTGATGTTCAAGCCTTTTTGTGTCAGCACCGTGCCTGTGGGTTCTCTTTTGTGTGTGTGTGTTTCCATGTCAGTATGTGTAGTTTTGTAGTGTATGCATATGAATGGGTTGCCGTGTCTGGCGCAGCTTGCGTGTGTCTTTTTACATACAGTATATTGTTGTGTGTCTGTGTGTAATCGCTGCCACAATGGCCGACACTCCAGACTAATATAATCAGGCAACAGTTAATCTGGCAGCTCTCCATGTGAGTCTGGAGCCAAAAACAGGACGTAAACCATCTCGCTCGTACCCCTGAGCAGCCACACTCGCTAGACCTATACACCAAGAGTTAACAGCTTCAACCCATCCAAGGCAAACCATGGTTGATAACTGCTTTCCCCCCCATTCCTTTCTAGCCCCATCTTTCTTTTCATCCCCCTCTCCTTCCCTCCCTCCCGACATCCTCCAGTCTCTTTATAGAACCAAGGCCTCCGAGGGACATTCCATTTGGATGGCAGCCATTTTAGCACAGAGAGTCCTCCACAAGAGTGTAAACGTACACACACGCGCTTGTGTGCATCAGTGTGTACGTGCACAAACGCACCACGACACAATCTCTCTACGCCGCCTCATTACAGCCTCTCTATTACATGAAAACCTTTCGCCAACTGTCTAACACACAAACACACACAGACATACATACACGCAGTTTGGAGAGTGCATGAAGTTAGTTGAGAAACAAAGAAAGCTGAGCTAGTCCCTGACACCTCGTGCGCAAAACAGGAGGAAATTTTAGAAATCAATTCAAAATTCAATCTGGTGTTTTGGATTCTTTAGATGCTATGAGACTGCTCTGAGCAGATAAACAACTTGGCTTAATGCTGCCAGATCCAGTCAGGACTATATTATCTAAATATACTTTGGGGAGCTCCGCAAGTAAAATTCAATACGTTTCAACATGGAGGGCAATGAGTCCAAATGACCTTTACATGGCAGGTCTGGTTTGGCAGCGGACCAATCCATCCCTTTGAGAGACAAATGGAATGAGAGGGAGCGACAGGGAGAGGAGGACATATTTATTCTTTTGAAAAGTGAGACCAGTCTGCGGGGACTTGTTGGCAAACTTGAGATCCTGGAGACTTCGGGAATTCTCTGACTCGAGATGAACAAACCATGTCGGTTACCCTATAGGACTGAAAAGCTCTTACGAGGACAACTTCCCCTTAGCGCCTTTATTAAAACAAGACCTTGGAAACACTGGAGGTTACTTTGAGAATTTTACCCGCTACACTGTACACCTGTGCAACTACATGGGTTCAAACACTTTATCAGTTCCCTTGCTGGCTTCTAAGTTGTTATGAATCTCTTTAATCTGCATTTGCGCCTGAGAACTAACAAACATATCTTTTAAAGAACAAAAATACAACCTCAGTGTAAGTCTAAATGTAAAAAGAAGGAAAACCAAACAAAGAAGCACTGGCTGGCTCTAATGTGCACTATAGCAAAGGCAGCGTCACTACAGATACTGGTTCTTTGCTGTCTTTGGCTTTTTTAATAAATTCAAAAATATATATTTTCACTTTCACTTGATTGATTGCTCCATATGGTGGTAAGTTTACATATCCAGTCAAGGTCATTATTTCAGAGTGAACAGCTTTGTCAGTTTAAATGCAAGGCTTCTACAATCGTTACGACAAAATGCATGAAGCAGTAAGATGAGAGGCAAATCAGTCACAAATGCATGGATGCAGCACTGGTACCATGCGATGGTAATATTATAAACACAGGCACAAAGATGGTGGTAAAAATGGATGGATGGAGAGAGGCTGAAAGAGAGAGAGAGGAATTTATGCCAAGCCGTGATGATAGCAGTAACACTGAACAGGTGAAACTCTGCAGGCATATTGCTTCTCAGCAGTTGCAACTGTAAGACTGGAAAGTTTTGTTTGCTTTCTCAGCAAGTACGTTTTGGATTTTTATTTTCAGGCACATGATAGCTGAATTTATTTTGTCTCCGGATGAGTTTGGGGGGAGTAAATACTGCAATCTAGGATTTGACACTCCCTTTCCTTCTCTCTCTTTTTCAGATTTAAAGGGGGAGGGGAAAGGTTGAGTTGTTGGGGTCATGGCAGGGCTCTCACCTGGTCTCACTCCTGCCAGCACAGGCAGCGGGTGGTGTGTGAACGCCATGCGGGGAGACCTCGTCTGGGAAGTCAGGGCGTTGAAATCAAACTTCCCCGGCTTCTTAAGTGAACCAGGCGAGGACAGTCCTGGCGAAAAAAAATGGGATCAACAAAAAAAAAAAAAAAAAAAAAAAAAAAAGTGGGGGTAAGAGGGAGGAAAAGAGAGAGGTTGTTTTAATCAACAAAATGTTGCTTATTTGACTGGCTACACTAAAAAAAAAAATCAGTTTGATTCCTATTGAAGGGGACTTGAACAGTGACGACTTTCTTATTAGATTGTTAAATTTTCTCATTGGTTGATGGCAGTGCATTGTCGTCCCCCTGTCCTTTCTGGCTGTAGGCCATTGACTCGCTTGAATGAGTCTGTCAGAGGACTGCAACCACAAAACATAAAGATACTCAAAAGACCAGAAGATTTTTCCCTTTTTTTCCTAATCCTATTCTGTAATTATTAATTCAGAGACACACTTCAGGATTCCCAACTACCAGCTTTGGCCTGAGTAATATTTCATAACCTAAGTGCGTGTCTTCAAAGGAAAAAGGGAGAAAAATACCTAAACCCAAACTGAATCTGGGCTTTTTGTTTTAGTGCCAAAAAACATCTGTAGCTATAATAATCTCTTCTGTGCCAATGTATGTTTTTCTGTCTCATCTCTTTCTGTTTCTCTCTCTCTTTCAGGTGCCAACTGTAGCGTTTTTGTGTACGAGCACGGCCACCATACAGCCAGAGTCAGCTAGCTGTGGTCTGGCTTCAGCAAAGCTCACAGGCTGGCTGCACGAGAAGACAGCTTCATTCAGAAATAGCACACACTGTACAGTATGGACACGGCAGCTGCTGAGTGCGAAAGACAAGCAGACGGACAGAGAGGGGAGACAGAGGGAGAGGAGAGGGAGAACGAGAGAGGCGAGAAGAACGTGGGAGACATGAAAATATGTGAGGGAGCAAGAGAGCAAAGCGGAACCTGTGAAAAATGCAGAAGCGTCTTTTTCTTTATTGCATTGCTCTGACAACACGTATGAAATTGGAATGTCATAAGATGTTTAGTATGGTTATTATCTCTTGCGAGCACACACTCACACCCGTCTCAACACACTTGAAAGGCCGCCTTATTTAACTGCTGAAACAATAGACTAATTTCTTCTTCTCTAAGTTTTCTTCTAATCTTCCTAACAAGTGAGTGGTGCGACACTGTTCTCTTTTTAAACTTTTTTAGACTGTTGTTTTGTAGTCTATTTCTGTGGCCCCTCCGCATCAAACAAGGCATTAAATATGATTCCTCCTCAGTTCTCCAGCTGGAGACGTGTGAAAGTCTATGGGAGTGTGGGGGCGTGCAAAACCTTCCCTCCCTGTGTGAAAGAGTTAAGTCTCAAGCAGGTGGGAGTGAATATGTGTGAACCATTTATGTCTTTAGCAGACATATAACCCCCCACCCAAATGTAGCGGGAGTCTGGGGGCGTATTGTACTGTCAGACAGATTCCAAGCATGAAAACAACCCCGATCCCACTTCTGACACCAGCAGTTAGCAGTGATTGCTATGACACTGTCACACTGGTGGGAGAAAGGTGGAAATAAGAGCAGACTGCTGAGACTGAAAGACAGAAAGGCACCGGAGGGGAAAGCTAGGAAAAGCTGAGATTTAGAGGAAAGTGTAAAAACCAGAACCATGTGGATTATACAATTATATTTTCAGAGAAGCAATCTTGTAGGTTTTCATTTAAGAAGTAAAAAAATGAATCCAAATTATAGAAATGAAAGCCAGGATCCACAGAGAGGATCAGATGAAGACTGACATCTGTATATATAGGAAGTTATAGCAGTGTCGTAAACAGCAAGGGACTGGAAAGACAATATTTTATTACTTCAGAGGCTATGCAATGGTCTGATCTGGCACGTGTGCATGTGTGTGTGTGTGTGTGTGCGTGCGTGCGTGTGTGTGTGTGTGTGTGTGTGTGTGTGTGTGCCACAACTGCACTGTTTCCTCTTCTGGCAAGCCTTAGTATTTCACTGGCAACCAATCAAGCGTTCCCATGATGACCCTTCTGTCTCTTTGCACTAACAGGCCTGCCACCAGATGCGCCTCTGAAGAACACACAGACGCAAACACACACATATTCATGCACTCACACACAGTTGGAAAAGACAGGAGATAGTGATTTAAAGAAGTAAAGGAAAGTTGGGGAATTCTCCTCTCTCCAGTGATTTAAGACGCATATGTCCAAAACCTCCAGCCGTATCCCTCCAAGGGCTTGTAACACTTAACTCAAAGAACCAAGCAAAGCTCCCACCACCACAAGTCTCTGGTGTCTTAGGAAAAATTTGCGATCATTTGGAACTAATATGAAATCGTGGTTGTTTCGATCGCTTCCACTAACCTCCCCCAACCCTCTATGCCCCTGTGGAGCAGATGTCTCCAGCATCCTCATGGATCCCAAGGCTACACATACATTGAAACACCATCTGGGACCAAGCTTCAGCTGTGCAAGTGTGTGTGCGTGCGCATGTGTGTCTAACTGATATCTGTATGTAGCTGTGTTTGTGTGATCTATTTGAATCTGTCTTCATACATCTCTGGGTGCCTTTGATTGTGTGGGCTCTGTTGGTTATAGTGGAAGTCAAGAAGAGTAAATGGTGCTATGGACAGGCACCTGTGGGGTTCCTTTGTTTGTGTGTGTGTGTGTGTGTGTGTGTGTGTGTGTGTGTGTGTGTGTGTGTGTGTGTGTGTGTGTGTGTGTGTGTGCCTGCTTGTTTGCATTCCCCCACCTGAACAGGAAATCCCAATGGCAGGTGGAATATTTTATTAAATAGACACAGACTACCAAATATCACACATTCTCCCCTTCGTGCTTCTTGTGCTAGCCACGATTTAAAATGATTACCAAATCCACAAAAAAAAGCCCGTCAATTACAAAAGCTTTTGGCTTTTCAATTTTTCGCCTGGATTTTGTAAATTAATTGGGGAAACGGTCCAGATTTGCATGCAACTCTACACACTTATTTGCCAAACTCATTAGGAAGTGTACACGGCTGTTTGCTGCACTGGATAGTAAGGGTGTCGCTATACACACACACACACATAGACACACAGAGGAAGTGAGAGCAAGTGAGAGAGGAAAAAGCTGGGAGGTAAGGCTCTGGTGCGCTAAGGCGTGCAGGAACCTCTGCTGTGGCTCTGATGAGCAGCCTCTTAATTACATTTACAGCTAAGTAGAGCAGGAGCGGGAGAGCAGACGCTGAGGCTCGAGTGAGAGTAGTCTGGGGCAAAACCTAACCAAGGCCCTTGGCTTCTCTAGTTCACACCGTGATAACCCCTGTCTCTCATTAGCTCTCACCATTTGAGTACCAAAGTCATCTTCTCTCCTCTCTTCTGTTTTGCACCACCCACTTTTCCTTTTACACTTGCCTAATTTCTGGTTCTCTTGTCGCCTTTTCTCCTCTGACATGTTTTCCCTCCCCAAGGCTATTCCTGCTGTACACATTTTCAATTAGACAGAAGGGACGCAGGGAAGGAGGGCTGAAGGGAGAACTAGGGAGCAAGAGGAAGGGTTTTACACCTCTGATCCACAGAAGAGTCCTAATGAGGGATTTGAGGCAAGGGAGGGATGGAGCAACAGAGAGATGGAGGCAAGGCAGACACCTGAACACCTGCAGGGGTGGGGAGTATGATAAGCGCGTGTATTTAAATGTGTGAACGTCTGCATGTGAGGGGGGTTGTAAGTGTGCGAGTCCCAGTATGGGGTGGTCGTCTATGTACATTGCGCTTGTGTGTGGGTGTTTATGCATATGAGTGAGTCACTGTGCAAGTGTGTGAGTGCCAGAGTGGGTGCAGCCACTGAATATGCCTGCTGGTGTTGTCAGTGTAAGTCTGGTGAAATCTGGTGAAATCGGTTAGTTAAATGAAGCTATTGTGCACATTTCCAGCTCCATGTGTATTATCCTGGACTCTACTAGGGTGGCTTTGCATGATTTACAGTTCAAAATAATGCTTTTTTATCTTATACTCACCCTCATTTCATCCACTGACTAAAATAAAACAATTTAGCTCCCTACCACCTCCAATTAAGCCAAACCTCTTCCAACTGGCTTTGTCAGTTTAAATATGCTCAAAGCTGAGCATATTAGGGATATCTACTCTCACAAAAAATGAGCTAAGGGGAAGAAAAAAATTGTCTAAAACAGAACAGTTGGCTCTTTTGGCTCACATGGATTATTTGCACACAGACTGATCAAATTATATGGAACTTTTCCCATGTTTATTATGACCCTCCACCACAGTAACACTATATAAATATGACAGAAAACTGGATATTCCCTTACAGTCCTGGCACTTTACACCACAAAAAATGAAACTTTCATCAGCATCATTGACATCAGTTAGTAAACAGCTAAACACAAATGAAAGTTTTACACACTTTTAGCATGCTATAGTTGTCCTCCCCACATTTATGCAACACACAAACACACATAATGTGTGTATATCTATCTATCTATCTATCTATCTATCTATCTATATTTTATACACACACACACACACACACACACACACACACACACACACACACACACACTTATACATACACACAGAGGAATGACTGAGCTACATAAAAGCTGATAAATAGTAAATAAATATGAGTGTAATCAATGTTGTTCTAACCATGGTAAGGAAACTGCACGCCATCGTTTTCATGTTTTATCTTCCTCTCCTGCACACTCGCCAAATGGTGCTGCACTGAAAGTGAAGAAGGGTATTGTTAACAATGAGATAGGGGAAGAATAAGAGAAAAAAGAGGAGAAGATATATAGACAGGAGAGAGAGAGAGAGTTAAGTGTGAGCATTTGTGTATGATGGAGGTTGTGAATCACTTATAATTGACAACAGATCAGGTAAACTGTATGCATGATAGTGGCGTTAAGGTGAGGGTGAGAACATATGAATGCTTGAAGAAAAGTGACCAAGAAAGGGGTTCAGGTATTGAGGAGGTAGAATAAAGAGCAAAATGTCCGGAGCTAAATGACACAAGTATTACTACCAAAACAATGGAGACACTAAACTAAAATATTTGGTGCATTTAGCATTGTCATTTTTATTATTCATCTCTCTTTTATTAAGGCATGTATTTGCATTTCTGTCATATGCGAGACATGTGACTTTAAACATTTTCTGTTTCAAGGTTACATATTTTATATTCACGTGTTTGAGTATATGGTTTCACACCAAACTTTTAAATACAAACAGATCCTAGTCAAACACAGCCATTGTTTTCAATAATATATTAACTAAGCATGAGCAAATTAACTACTGTGTGTATCTGTAAGTAGAGTGATCAGACTGTGCCACAGAGCCTTAAGAAAGGTGAGTGGAGGTGTATGAGTGGTCTCCAGGGCTGAGTACATCACCACAGTGACAGCAACAGATTGCGGTAGGGAGAAGTGACAAAGTCAGATGGAGGGATCAGTTTGGACTTGGGGGTGCAAATCAGGCAGAAAGTGCAAAAGCTTCATGATGCTTCAAGGGATAGGTGTGGGGTGGGGTAGGAGGGTACCTGATTCCATGTCATTAGGCCACGCACTGGACTGGGAGGAGCTGGCAGCAGGCGAACGCCCAGGGTAGAAAACATCATCTGTGGGGCTCTCCAGCTCGCTATCATCTAAGGACTTCCGCTTAGTGGAGCTGCAGACACGAGAGGATATTTGGTGGTTGGAGTAAAAGTGGAAGGGATAAATGGAGAGAGTGAGAGCAGGTAGGATTTTTTTTAATAAAAATATATGATGGGAAGGACAACACCTAGCAGAAGTAAGAACTTTTCATATAAACAGACTTTTTTTTTTGCATTTTAGGGGAAACAAAATCACAAAGTCTTGGAGCAGACAAAGCACAATGAATGTCAAAACTGTGAATGGAAAAGGAAGAAAGAGAAGGCAAAGTCAGAAAGTAGAGGCAGTCACACACGACTTTCTGAAAGTGTTTGTGCGTGCTTTCCTGTGCATGTGTCTCGCCAAGTTGTATCTTTTATATTTTTTAGATGAAGCTCAGGTTTATAACTACCTCCTTGGAAGGTTTGCGTACAACTCCACCTCAGACCTAAAGTGACAGCAGATGACAGAGGTAAGAAGATAGAAAGAAAAGGTTAAGAAAGACCCAGAGAGTAAAAAGCAGAAAGAGACATCACACATTCATAAAGACAAGAGCAGCTAGCTGAGAGACATACACATATATAAAGAGAATCCAAGACTGGGACTGGACTCGTAGTGCATAGCTGCACACCACTCATAACAAGAAACTTCAATGAGATGGTGTACTGTAGCCATCTTTGTGATAACAAGCAATATACGGTTGGTAAATATTACAGTACTGTGATTTCACACTTCCCTCAAGTTTGCCCTTGGCATCACTAACCAAGGCAGAACTGCTAAAGCCACATGGTGGTTTCACCCACTAGACGGTCTACTTATGGTAGACAGCCGTACCTCTCCATGATGTTTCCTGTGCAACGTATACTGTACGTCTGCACAACCTTCACTACTCATGTCTGTGGGGAGTATTTACCTGGTAGAAGGAGGGGAGGTGAGAGAGCGCCGCCCCAGAGCCACCTGGTTAATGTTGTAGTAACTGGGGCTGCTGTCCAGGTCAGCCAGTGAGAAGTTAGGACCCGACGCTGTGGCTACGGGAGCTGACAAGGAGACAAATATAAAGGGAATGTGGGGAGAAAAGAAAAGGGAAGCGAGAAATATGCCAGCATGAGATAAGAGGATATGCTCAAAATGCTATGCTGCATTGTTGCAGTAGATTTTTTTTCAATGAGGAAACAAATGCATTGTATTGTAATTACTCATGTGCAGGCATTTTGTCTGTGTCGTGATCTGGTTTTTCTACTTACTCTGAGACACTCTGACCAGCTCTGCCACATTCCACACTCCTGAGGTGACAAAACAGTCCTGGAAACTCAGGTGGCCTGTACAGACGAGGAAATAATCAAGCTTTTACAAATACACGCAAAAGCTTAGGGAAAACCCACCTCCCCACACAAAAACACAAAAAATGTTAAACTGAAACTCAGGAGACTCCATCTCTAACTCTGTTTGCTGAGCAACATCTATGGGAATACGCAATTGAATTACACTGTATGGACTAAAGTATGGGCCCACACCATCGGGGAAAACACCCGAATTCATAGATTAAAGTGTGTAATTTATGAATTTGGGTGTTTTCATTCCCAGCATCTCAGATGTTTAAAATAAAGCACATAGAAATGAAGAACAACGCAATAAAGCACAAAGAACAGGTCATCCTTAGGAGCTCACTGAATATAATCCTGGTACTGTAATAGGATGCTGCTGTTTCAACAGGTCAGTTTGTAAAACGTCCCTCCTGTTAAGTCTGCAATTTCATGTTTATACCTAACATTCAAACTATTCTGCTGCATCAGGACCCTGAAAACGCTGCTGAGCCAGGTAAAAGTTTGAAAACTGTGGTTTTTAGTTTGGAAATTGATTTTGGGAACCTGTGATGTCACGGATTCAATACACCTGTGTTCGATGCCTGATTAGCCTGATGATTTTTCATGTTACAGCCACATGACCAGTTTCTGCAAATCATCCTTGAGTACCAATGGCGAATTCATCTAAAATCATTCAGCAGCTGGTAGCAGCTTTTGTGCAGTTGAATTCTGCCTTTTATCATGCTACTCATCGTCAGTGTATGTGAACAGTCATGTCTTATGCATTTTCAGGTGTTCGGTTTTAAAGCAAAACTAATTAGTGTGGATGAAGCTTGATGAGCTCGGTGAAATTAATTTAACGCTAATTTAAGAGGGTTTGAACATAGGCACGTGCTTGTGCATATACCCACCATTGGGTGGTGGCTTGATGTCTGTGTCCCCTTGTTGGCTGGAGCTGTCTGATTGTCCAGATTCTGCAAAAAGGATAGAGACAGACTAATGGTTATTATCTGATTTGCATGCTTAAGAAACTAATAAAAACATACTGGTAAGCGTGCAACATCTCAATGAGTCATAGCTGTGTGTTCATGTTGCCAAGAATGTGATATTTCAGGTGTGAGAGGGAATAAGAGGGACTTACAGTATGTGCTGCGGTATGGTATACATCTTGCGAATGTATGTGCGTGTGAATTCGCACATTTTTGTGTGACAGTGTTGTATCTAAGACTGTTCTCTCCTGTTTCCCTCTGTCCCTCCAGACTTAAGGTGCGATGATTTACACTGTGCTGCTATGCCATTTAGTATCTAACCACGCAATCATATCCCTCTCCCTAATCCTATTTAATACTTTCTTGCTGGTAGGGATTTAGTCTGCGTAAACAGAACACCTTACACACATAACCACACATAACACTCACTCTCAATCTGTTTCTTCCTGTAATTTTTGCTTCATACTTTAATACATGTTGTAATCCTTACAAGAACAAACACATAAATACACACATGCAGATCGAGAGATAACATTGACCAGGCCAGCCTGCTCGTCCAGAGGGATTTGACGCAGAGTATAAAATTGTATAAAATTGAGGCAACGCTCGTCCCTTTGAAATAAAATAATAACAAAGAAAACACAAGCGCATAAAATGCAAACCTAACATGTGTGCAGCTGTGCACACCTGTTATGACTGGTCTACTGAGGCTTCATTCACATGATAGTTGGAGTAAAAGTGCAAGTCACAAAGAAAAACACATGGGTGTTTGAGACCGGTGGCTGAGACCAAGTTCACTTCCTGGACTGGTGTGATGTGGGATACTCATGCCATTGGCCGTCCATTCAGGCCTAGCTAGGCTTTTGCTAGCTAGTAAGCTAGCTAAAGGAGGTGTTTATCTGCAGGCTGTAGGTGATAACAGAGCACACAGACTCCTGCCAGCAGCACTTGCCTTGCAGCCACACTAAGCCACAGATTACTGAGCAGAAACAATAACAGACCTGTCTCGCTGCCTACGAAGCAGTGCTTATCCACCGAGAGAGGGGCGAGACAGACAAGAGCGAGAATGAAAGAAAGAAAGAAAGAAAGAAAGAGCACAGAAATGAAAGAGAGCTTCTTTTTCCCCTCTCTTTTCATGCAGAATGTCTCGCTCTTCTGTGTCTCTCACTGGCTGGGTGTAATCCTGGCAGCCATCTTAGAGCTTGGCAGCCATCTTAGCATTGGCGGTAGTGCCACATTCCAGCTAACTGACGGCACTCACTCCAAACATACGAGGCTGCGCCCCCGCCACGCATGCACACAGACACATTCAGACACACACACACACACACACGTACACACACGTGAACAAACACTGAGGTACACACGCAGAGTAAACATATATGGTGGCCAATGAAAGCTGTGGAGAAAACAGCCTCACTTCAATGGACTTTTTAACCGTTGTGTAGTATTTCACCGGAGGGCTCTACATTAATGTAAACACTATTTCTCACACTATGCATATGGCGCTTAGATGCAATGGACCGTTACTGTATGAACAATACGCTTTACAGATATCTCACAATCTAATACAGAAAGCATGGCTACCGCCACGAAGCTGCACAAATTCACGTGTGAGGCATGAATTTTGAAAAACTGTAAAATGTCCGTAGCCTCTTTCCTACACCAACATTTCCTTTGGTGGATTTGCTTCAAGAAATCATATTGGCGCATACAACTTATTATCATGTTTTGTGTGATTATGCATGTCTACTGACATGCATAATCAGTTCTGTGTTTATATTTGCTTCCACGGTTGATTATTTACAGTAACAAGTGTGGCACCTGATGCTCAGTTCTGTTTGTTTAGGATATTAAGAAAGTTACTAATTGAAGGATTATTCTGTAGCCAGTCTGCTCCTGCCACCTGACAGATGTTACAAATAATTGCGGCATAAATGGCAGAAATCACAATTGGTGTTTTTTTTTTAAACAAATATAACAAGTTCAGCCCATCCTGCAATACCGCAGTGACAGCAGGAAGCTCTTATCACCTGAATTTGGCTTTACCTAACAACGATAATACCATATTCTGGTTTAAAATTATATTCTGCAAATCTTATTGGGTAATGGAGAACAACTGATTTTCAGTATGGACATATCACATTCTGGAAAGATCCTGCACTTGGAAACTCTGCCCATCTGTCTTAAATTGCCTATTGTTGGCCTGTCATGACCTGAACATGTTCTGCTCTTGTCAAGGTGTGAAAGCTAAGGCTCATGGTATAGATAAGAGCTGACAGGCACATATGAGTAGCAGCAGGAAAACTGATAGCTGTTCTCAACATCACCCTGAGGTTTTGACTGCCTTTGGGCACACCAACTCTCACAGTATATGAGACCGATTGATACAGAGACTCCTATTATCGCTCTGATTTTTCATCTTATTTATGTATTCTTTTTTCTATTTTCCCACCTACAGAGTTTATTCAGCTCTTGAAAATCTTTTTCTGCAAACTGCACAATATGATAACCTACATAGATACTGAAGCTATCAACAGCTGTGGCTCTATTGCTCTGAGCTCAGGCTCTTTAGCCTACTAAGACTGTGCTTACAACACATCGCAACATCACTCATTGGAAATAGGTGCCACTGTTGAGTTCAACAGTGCATCATAAAGCTGTAGAGACGAGTGAGGAGGACAGGGCGAGAGGGAGGTAAGACAGAGGTCTGGTTATCACTGCTGTGCATGCTGCAGCCTACGACAGCAGCCACAACCCCCCACTCTACACTCAACACCCTCCATCCACGCATCCAGCCCCTTATCTTCTCACCGCAGCCCCCTAAAGCCCTCCCTTCAGCAACCCCAATCAGAGTCCTGCAGCCACTCCCTCCCTCAGATGCCCCTCTGCGTCCTCCACCAGCAACCCATCTCTGACTTCAAACCTTTCAGCCTACTCCGCAGCCGCTTGAACCCAGTGAATTAAAAAGACGACATACAAAGAAAAACAGTGTATGCATTGTGTCCTGATGGTGCACATGAGAAGCCCACGCAAACTCTACTCTGATAACAGTGTATGAATATACAAATATATACAGTTATTCATGACGGACTTTATGTGATTCAGCCCATCCATCACTGTTGATGTAACCATTTAGGTAAGTGAGTATCACAGTGATTAACTAAAACTTAGCTAAACATTGGCTTTGCACTAAAATTTTCCCCTGGATTTCACTTTTATGTGCAACATCCTGGAAGTAAAGAGTAAATTGGGATGTCGTAAGTCCCTAAAAATGAGAGCTGGTTATCAACAAACTTGACTTTGCACAACTAAATGCTGGTGTACGCTCAAAGTAAATGAGTGCTAATTATAGGTAAATGTTTGGATTTTTAATCATTAGTTTATAATCATTTTAAATAATAATTTTTTTAATTTTAAATAAATAAATAGTGTAGTGAGTTTTAGCTGAGCATCTGCTTTCTCTCTGTGCTGGTTCTTTATACTGTCTGATTGCTGATTGCAGACTTTTCTCTCTTACAACTCCGCTACAATCCACACAACCCAACTCATCATGGCTTTGACATACAGCACCATGCATCTGACTGTGGCTGTGCTCTCTAGGTTGCAATCCTTCTTACCATCTCTCTGACACCCAGCACTAATTCCTGTGGCTTTCCTCCTAATTTTCATGAGGTCAAGTGGAGGATTCTCCTTCTCCTCATTTTTTTAAAAAACATATGATATCCTCATTAGTTATAATAATTCCTAAGCTATTAAATTTTCTTCACTAATCACTCTTTCCCCAATATTACCTCCTGCGCTGTTAATCTCCAAGGTCACAAATGGATCTATTAAAGAATCCTCCCCAACAAACAACTAATCAATCCAACATCTGTTCCACAGATGTGGATAAAGGTTTTAGCTCAGTGGCTTTTTCAACTGTTTTGGTCATCGGAAGACGCTAAAGCTGTGTGTACTCAAGTGAGGACTAACTCCGTTACAAATTTCATCACCTGAAAGAACTCTGGGTCAGTAACAAACTGAAAGTGCTCAAAGGTGTAAAAACTGAGGCACCAATGATTGTAAAAGCAATTAAACCAAAGAGAAAAAGGCTTAATCTGTTACAATTTATTGTCTATAAAATGAACCATGTTACCTTGACCTCAAGCACATTTGTACATTTGATTAAATTCTGACCAACACTGTAGGAGGAGTAGCGACTGTGGATTGTGGCCAGATGCCTTGCTACGGCATAAGCTCATCAGTCCTTTGGACGGATAAACTAACTAGACCTCTGTGATTTGAGGAAAATCTGAAACGTGTCAGGACATTGCTCAAGATGATTATTTCGCTTGGAACATTTAAATCAATACTCAATAATCCATATTACAATTCCTATATTTTTTTCTTTTTAATTGATATACTCTTGACATAGACATAAAACAGTGAGAGACCGCAAATCTTCATATCGTCTCCTGACAATGAAAATACATCTTGCTGGTCATTGCTGATCAAAAATGAAAGAAGTAACAAGTGGGCTCTGCAGTGGCACATCGCTGTTTGACAGATTCATAAACACTGCTTGTCATTTGTGAGTATGTGCGGTACAACCACGCACACTGCCAACATCAACATGAAAACCAACAAGTGAGCTAATGTACTCTGTAGCCACATCAAACCAGCATGTGTCCATATGTGTGAGCATGCATGTGTGTAACTACCAGTATGTGTTGAGATTCCCCTCCTTGTTGGAACAAATGTCAACTCCACCACTCCCCCTCCGTCTCCTCCTCCCCCTCAGCTCTCCTCTCCTCTCCTCCCCAAAACACAGGATAACGCGGTACAGCCTCCCAATTGGGTTTCGCTTAAGAGGTTTATCGGTATGTTGCTAAACATTCTGACCTTTTTTTAATCCTTAATGCGCTTAAAATGTTCCAAACCCTCCTAATCCCCCCGGCTATCCCACACAGATGTTCACTCAGCTCTTTTATTGGATGTTATTTTATTATTTTTTTTACCCTTTTTATTTTAATATATATATATTTCTGTTTCATTTTTTAATTATTTAAGTCTGTGTCATACGAGGGAACATTTCTGTTTCTGTGTTAATAAGTCTTCATCACTTCTGCTATTTAGTGTATACATCTCTGTATGTGAGCAAAAACGCTTTTGTCCTAAAAGTCTTAACCAGATCCCCATGTGCTGAAACCAAAGTGTGAATGTGACCTTTACAAATCTTTACTCTTAGAGGAAAATCTTATAAGTTGCTTAGAAGCCAAACTTTGAATCAATAAGAGTCATAAGAGAACGAAAATGTCAGCGGAAACTGACAAATCTATGGTGTAATTAGCTGCTATATATGCTCACTGTTCGTCTGGCATATACAAAATGTATTACAAATCTGCACACGCACAACTGTTTATGTGAATGCACAAATAAATGTATGTATCTATATATGTATACATGTGTGTCTGTGTGTATTTGTGTTTGTGTCCCTGTATCACCGTGCCACTGTGCCAGGCAGGCTGTGAGGCGGGTTGGGAGAGTAGGGCTCTGTGTGTGCGTGTGTGTGTGTATGTGTGCGCGTGTGTGTGTGTGTGGAGCAGGTGTGCCTGGCCGCCCTGCGCAGCTTGCTGCCCATCTGTGCTCCCGTCTGTGTGCCGCCTGCGCCCACGCTCTGCCAGCAGCACCGCACCATGGCAAGAAGACCCAGGAGAGAGAGATGCTGAGAGACGAAGGGAAGGATTGAAAAAAAGAGAGAAGGAGCGAGCGGGGAGGAGGAGGGAAGAGGAGTGAGGGGGAAGAGCAGTGGGAGGAGCAGAGAGGAGGGATTACAAGGCTTGGGGGTATGGAGGATGGGAAGAGAAGCGAAAGAAAAGTGGGAGAGGGAAAGGGAGCGGGTTATGGTCTAGAGAGGATGCATGAAGTCGCAGGCAACGAGTGGAGAGGGTGATAGTCAAAGTGGAGGTTTGGAGGGTATTTGGCTGGCTGGATGCCCACACATACCCCACTCCTTATTTATTCTCCTCTGTTCCTCATTCCCCCACTTATCCTTGTTCTCATCCTACCATCACCTTTTCTCTCCACCAGTGCAATTTCTTGTATACTGCAAAGTTTCTCCATCACTGGGTTTCCAGAGACATGTTTTTTCCAAAAATGTTGACTTTATAAACTTGCAAGATTATTCCCAGGCTGCCACAATATATGTTATGC